TATTTAGTTAAAAAAAAAAGGCAGGGGGAAAATCAAGAACCCGACAATCAAGAACACAATGAACTATGATGAAGGTAACCCACGGAAGGCAACAGAGGTGCTGGTGCTAGGTTGTCTTCAATAAAAAAGGTATTTCTGCAGTTGTCCCAATGACTAATTGAGAGAACTGAGTAGAGAGGAGTCTTATTAAGACTCTAGAACTCAGGAGGCAACCAAATGGCCATGTCATATTTGTGTTATTTGCTTGAAGATGTCACCCAGGATCCAAATTCCTGGAAGTTAACCTCCCTGAGCCAACCAAACGAGTGCCTCTGGCCCCAGGGCTGGTCTCCAGTGGTGCCGCATGTAGAGCGGACTATTAGTGGCATCACGTTTAATGCTGGTTACTCTATTGTCTGTTGATCCTGAGGGAAAATTAAGGCAGGGCCTATTGTGTCTCTCTAACAGGGCTCACGCGTCTGGCGTTTCCATCCCTCTCAAAGAGCTGATATTATGCTAATAAAGATCGTGTAGTATGAGCTTTCAGAGCCCAAAATATACCATTCTTCAAACAAAGGAAATACTTATTTTTACCCCCAAATAAATCAAGAAGTTTTTATGGTTCAAATGTTATTAATGACTAATTTTGCTTCATTGTATTCCTTCTACTTACAAAGAACAAGTTTTCCTGAAATTAATATTGTAATATAATCATGTCAGAATGTTTGCTGTCACCCAGAATTTATCATAGCTAGTCTAATGGAAGTTTTATGTTGAGATTTAAAACAGGAAAATTAATTTGTCATTCCTAAGAATACTAATTAAGTTTATAGAAATAAGTGTAGATTGAAAGTTGAAGCAACTTAATAATGCTGGTGAATATTTCTAGAACTATTTAGGGCAATTTAACCATTTGTTTAGAGTTGCACTGACTTAAGGAGGAAGAGTAAAAATGGGCTAAGGACCCCACAGGGTCGTGGGGTGTCCCTTATGCTGTGCTGAGGCGCAGGATCCAAGAAATAAAGAGACAGGACACAGAAGTACAAGGAAAACACAGCTGGGCTCAGGGGGGCTGTGCCACCCATATGTGGAGTTAGGCGAGGCTCTGAATGTCCGGAAGTGTCTGTATTTATTGTGTATAGGTTAGGGGGCAGGGTAGTGAGTGAAGTTATCTTTAAGGATAGTGATAGGGTCGTGAGCAATAAAACAAGGGGCCCAACCCCATTAGGTCAGCTAGGTTAGGAGATGGACAGTGTGCAGCAAGGGGTCCACCCCCATTAGGTCATTGAGGCAAGGAAGTGGGCCATGTGCAGTAAGGGGTCCACCCCATTAGATCACCGAGGCGTGGAGGTGGGCCGTGAGCAGTGAAGAGGGTGCAGTGTGCAATACCTCTATCTATGGGCATGCTACTCCTAAGAAGATCTATAGGAGGCTTAAGTCACACAGCAGTGACAGAGCTGTCAGGGTCTACCGCCACCTGCTGGCAGCTCCCGATGAATTCTTTAGGAGGATGCTTTTCGAGCAGCATAGTAACAAGAGCTGATCAAGTTCACAGTCACCAAGGTGCGATTATCCGGAGGGGTTTTGAGCCCTCGGATGCTCAAGGGCTTGCCCATCTGAGGGCAGCCCTCCACAAGAACTGGACGCAAGGTCCTACAACTCCTTTATTAGGAGGAGTGGCTCTTGCCCCAAGCCTGCCATACAGCAGGTATCTTTACAATACTGAACGCTGCTGCCTGGGCCATGGAATCTTGTCCTGGTATAACTTTTTCCCTTAAATCATGCTCTGCACTGTGTCTGCTCCAGACATTCCTCCGACTATAAGCTGCTTATTCCTTAATTCATGCTCTGTACTGTGTCTACTCTAGGCATTCCTCCAATTATGAACTAAGATATAGATATATCTAGGGAAATAACTGAGTGGTAAGATATTCTTTAGGCACTCATTCTATGAACTAATATATGATTATATATAGAAGATTATATAAAAGGAAATAACCGAGTAGTAACACTATAAACTGAGATATTCTTCAAGCCTTAATTCTAAAAACTAATATATTATTATATGTAAAGGATTATATAAAAGGAAATAACTGAGTAGTAACACTATAAACAGATATTCTTCAAGCCTTAATTCTACAAACGAATATATGATTATATAAAGAATTATATAAAAGGAAATAACTGAGTAGTAACACTATAAACTGAGATATTCTTCGGGCCCTAATTGTGCCAGGATTCTGCTTAGCTCTCCTTCCTCGGTGCCTATATGGGGGGTGGGTCACCCACAGTTGGTTGCTTCCTTAGTCTAATGATACATTCTGATAGGTGAGGCTGCGCAGCAGTGCAGCCCAGGTGACAGTGGGCATGCAGTTATTCCTCCTGTCATTCCCAATTCCCACCTCAGGAGAGCCTGCCTCAGTAGCTACCTGTTGACACTCACATTTGCTTTCAGACACCTACACAGATTGTCTTGTCTTTTTATAGTTAAAGCAAACTTTTACAAAAAGAAGTAGCAAAGAAGAATAAGCTATTTGGAAATCACCAAACTTATAACATATATTATGGGGGTTTATACATTTATCACAAGAATAGAAATTCTTGATGTCCCCTAACTTAAATCTCTGTAGCTTTAAAAAATGGCATATGCGGCTGTGCACCAGAGACAAAATCAAGTTCATTTAAGGCATTTTTCCACCTGCTTATTGCAATACATTCATTAAAAGTAATTTTTATTTTCAGTGTGAAATTTGGTATTACATAAATATAATCACTCCCACTGGCCTTCGCAACTTTCTAGCACATCTATGAATTGCAAACATATATTTTCCCACTTAAATTTACAAAAGCTTTTTTTTGAAAATATTTTTGCTGGTTTTAATGTTTGATTAACAATGGGAAATGGGTGGGGAATAATGAACTTGAGACATAAAGAAATTGCGTGAAAGACAACCATGTCAATGAGGGGAGAAATATTCTTCTTATGCCAATCCAAAGAGGATTTGATGCACTATTGTTGCATGCATGTCAACATTGCACTATTGTCATAGACACAGCTGGGGGTGCATAATGACCATAGAGCACAAAGGTTTGCACACTGCAGTGTAGCAGTTATTTTAGCAGTAATTTTATGTCTACATGAGAGCCAATTCACCTTTCTTCTGGAACTTAGAATGCTGTACTGTTGTTACCACCCAGCTTCCTCTAGATTGTGGCAGAATTCATCGTAATTTCTCTCGAGTTTATAATGCATATTTAAAAGAAAAAAATATTTTTATTACAAAAATCTGGGGATGACTTTTGAAACCTATGGTAAGAAATTCCTTAATGACTGTTTTTTTCCTCTTGTTGTAGAGTTTACATTGAATTAAGAAAGAAAAGTATAAAACTTTTCACAGCAGGTTTAAACTGAGACATTATATTGTTACAGATTTATTTGTAATTTTGAAGAACAAAGACAAAATTAGATAGTGGCATCAATTAAAAATGAACAAATTATGGATATAATTAATCAGTTAAAATTAATAACCACCCCAAGCTACTAGAATTTTTCCCTATAAGCTAAATCCCCACGCTACTAGAATGTTTTCCTATAAGCTAAATTATATGTCTTAACATAAATAAGATATATGATTTAGCTTATAGGGAAACATTGTAGTAGTATCTTAACATAAATAAGATATATTATTTAGCTTATAGGGAAAAATTTATGCTTCGATGAAAAATTAAGCATTGTCTAGATTCTAGATTATCTAGATTCTAGAGGACATCCCTTTGATCAATTTGATCACTTACGATCTACAAGGCACTTTAAATCAACTTAATACCTGGAGTAATGCTAAGAGAGATTAAGAAAATAAATAGCCCTACCATCAAGGAACTTACAGTCTAATAGAAGACATGTGAAATGTGTAAATAGAATATGAAGTAGAAAACCTGTCATTTCACTGTATAAAAATGCCATAGGTTAAAAGGAGTGATAGAACATTTTAAAATCAAAGAGTCTCAGAAAATTTTCTAAGTATGTTGCATTGAGCTGACCACCAAAACATAGAAAAGATTTGGATGGGGAGTTTGCATGAGGCAATGTGGAAATGACGATAATAGTAAGTGGTGAGAACTCTCTTAGAGGGCCTATTAGCATATCCCTCATGCTTGAAGGATTGTACAAACAGACGAAACAAACAGCCTGTAGCTGATTATTGAGTAATCTGTGCACCAACACTCTATAACAAAGACAGTATTATTCAGTGGTTAACAGCAACGGTTCAGGCATCATATACACCATGTTCAAAACCCACTTATTCTCTGTATGACCCAGGTTAATTAAGAGGCTTGAGACTATATACTTAGTGTTGTAACATAAATAAGATATATAATTTAGCTTATAGGGAAAAATGTATGGCTTCAACAAAAAATTATGGGTTGTCTAGATTCTAGAGGACATCCCTTTGATCAACCTGATTCTGATTCTGTGGCAGATATTTTACAATTTTATAAATTATTAACTGATAGCAATATAAAATAATTCTTGTTTATGACATACAAATTCAGTCCTAATGGTCAGAGATTGAATTGACTTCCCTCTCCCACAGTGGAACCAGCAAGTTTAGCCTCTATTTGCATATTCATTTCTACATTCCTTTTCTTCTTATAAATTTGTGCTTCTTTGACTATTTTTGAACCAGTTTGACTGTTTTGAACCAGTTATTACACCTGCGTGGGTCCCTCATTGAGTTCAATTATTTAGTTGAGTTTATTTTATGTCTATATGAGAGTTATTTCACCTTTCTTCTGAGACTTAATTCTTTTTACTAAATATTATTATGCTAAGACATTTATATTATGTGTAGCTATGGTTGATTCATATTAACTTTGGATATACTTTAGTGTATTTATTCATATTTTAAAAATCCAAGAATGTTTGACACAATGGCTAGATTTATTATAAGCACAAAATAATGTATTTGGAAAAGATCTTTTGCCTAAGACTTCATAACTTACCATACTTTTCCAGTTCATTATTGCCTCCCCAAAACTTTCTTCAGTGCCCCTTTCACCTCCTTATTCCTTAAAGTATAGATGAGGGGATTCAATATAGGAGTCACCAGGTTGTAGAAGAGAGTGAGAAACTTGCCTTGGTCTTGGAAAGAGCTGTTTCCTGGCTGCATATACATATAGATGATGCTCCCATAAAACAGGGAGACCACTGTGAGGTGAGAACTACAGGTCTTGACGGCCTTCCATCGCCTGGCAGCCGACTTGATTCTTAGCACAGCTGCAGCGATGTAGCCGTAGGAGACAAGAATAAGAGTGAGGGGCAATAGGACGATGAGAACGGCAAAAGCAAAGACCAGCATTTCCACGGCACAAGCATCCACACAAGCCATCTTGATCAATGCTGGCATTTCACAGAGGAAATGGTTAACTCGGCAGTGGCCACATCTGGAGAGGGTCATGGTTAGTGGTGACATGACAATGGCATTGACCAGTCCACTCCCCCAGGCTGCAGCCACCAGTCCTAGACATAGCTGGGGGTGCATAATGACCAGGTAGTGCAGAGGTCTGCAGACTGCAGCATAGCAGTCATAGGCCATGACAGCCAGAAGGATGCACTCAATTCCCCCAACGGAAAGGAAAGAGAAAAGCTGGACAACACAGCCGGTATAGCTGATGGTCTTGTCAGGGCCCCAGAGGTTTACCAGCATTTGCGGAATGCAACTAGTACTGAAGCAGAGATCTAGAAAGGAAAGATTTGCCAGAAAGAAGTACATTGGGGTGTGAAGTCGAGAGTCTAATATACACACAAGGATTATGGTCGAATTTCCTAGCACAGCCATGGAATACAGAATAAAATTTATTATAAAGAGCACCATCTCCAGCTTGGGACAATCAGAGAAACCCACCAGGATAAAACCGTACTCTGAGCTGTCATTGCATTTTTCCATTGCCTTCCTTTCGTATCATCTGTATAGCTGGTAGGGACAAAATGAAGAATATTTAATCTGCATTATCTGAATGCCATTGAATGTCAGGATTTGGGGGAACATAACCATCAAGCCTCTCATCCCATTCAATAATTGTAGCATATCTTCTGCCAGCTAGCTATATTAACTGTTTATCATTTGTTCAAACACATAAGGCAAAGTGTTTCATTGTTGGGAAATTCTTGTTTATAATCCTCTTTTTATTATGAAGATATTTTTTCCCTATAATGCACAAGACAAATTATTTTAACTTTACTGAATACACATCGATCTAAGACCTCTTCATATGATGTAATTAACATTTTTTTTTTGAGACAGGGTACTATTTTGACTTTTTTGAATACACACCAATCTAACACTTCTTCATATGACATAATTAACATTTTTTTTCAGACAGGGTACTATTTTGACTTTTTTGAATACACACCAATCTAATACTTCTTCATATGACATAATTAACTTTTTTTTTTTTTTTGAGACAAGGTCCTGCTCTGTAGCCCAGGCTGGAGTGCAATGGTATGACCTCAGCTCACTGCAACCTCTGTTTCTCAGATTCTAGCAATCCTCCCACCTCAGCCTCCTGAATAGCTGTGACTACAGGCGCATACCACCATGCCCAGCTAATTTTGTTCATGTTTTTTTAGAGATAAGGTCTCGCTATATTGCCCAGGCTGGTGTCAAACTCCTGGCCTCAACTGATCCTCTTTCCTCAGCCTCCCAAAGTGCTGGACTGAATGGATGTCGGCCAGGCGTGAGCCACCACACCCGGCCAACATCCATTAACATTATAGACATTTACTACATCTTGACTAAATTTTCTGTAGTCCAAGACATTCACTTTCCTTCAGTCTTCTTATACATGGTTATCAGGCATATCATCACCCTAGTAGCTGTCTTCTACATGCCCTCAATGTTGACAATGACCTGAAAATGTGACAACCATGGCTGAGCTCACTACTTGCATTTTTGAAAAACACAAAACACAGGGAACTACTGCCCACTGTGAGCTGGACTATTATATCCTAATTATTGTGGCATAAAGTGTTAATGTTATCTTTTCACTTAGGTTATAAATGTATCTATTAAATATCACAGTTCTTTAGTCCCATGAAATACCTTGGATCTCTACAATTCATGTCTTTGTAAGCAACAGAATTTTGCAACCAAGATTGACAAAGTCAGAGAGGATATTCTCTCCAGTAATAAAATGGCAACTTTGAATACACTTTGTCTTCAGTCTTTTGCAAATGTTAAAAACAATGTAATTAGCTTACAGAGGAAAGGTGCATGGCAATAGGGACTAGGGAGGAATAGAGACAAAAGAAGGAGAATGTGGTAACTAAAAAGGAATTTTAAAAACAGAAATTTAAAAAAATGACCCTAACGTGGCTAAGAAGAAAAAAGTGAGATCGATTCATGAAAGACACATACTCACAACTGGATTAAAGGACACTAGGATAAAAGTAAAATAACAGGAAAGGAGAAGTGTAAAAATAGAGCAGCAGGTACAATATGGGTGTAAAATACACTTCACACTATGATGCAATCTAGAGAATTAATGGCTGCTTTTAATTGGGAAATTGAGAAAAAATAAATACAGAATAGGACTTAAACTTTTGTCACAGATATTTTGATTTTCAAATGAAAAACTTGTCTTTCGTGAAAATGTCTTGACATAGATATTCTTATAGTAAATTTATTTTCCATAGTCAAATATAGTATACCGAAATAAAGAAAAATTTATCCATTTTCTCTAGTCATTTAGGCTTACCTGGTTTCAACTTTCCCAAAGCATATAGGAAGAAGAAATATTCATGTTATTTCCTCTGGTGTGGATTGTTATCTAGGATTTTGTGGAAGATTATGTGGTTAATAGAAATAGAAAGTAACAGTACAATTATGACAGGAACGCACCAGAAATCATATAGAAGTAATTACAACAATCTCAACTTGTCAAGAAACAAGCTGATAAGTTCCAAACTCTCTTTGCATTAGATTCTAGGTTGGTTTTTTTTTTTTTTTTGAAGATAAAAGAGGAACAAAGCCATGCGATTCCTTTTCTTACAATTTAAGTGATAGAGTAATGGTGTTGCACTACTTTAGAAAAAGGTAAAATGGAGTAATTGCTATGGGTTAATTAAATTAAATTATAGAGAAAAGAGGCAATTGTAACGGAAAAATAGTGTTCACATTCTTCCTCTATCTACCTGCCATTTGGGATAATACCTGGTGTTCAGCAGGCTCTCTGGAGCTGTCAACCAAAGCTCCATGGCAAGGATGTCCTTCTGACTCTACAAAATAACCAAGGCAGATTTGAAAGGTCTTATAGACTCAGATGGGGAAAAAAATGGAGGACTAATTTCTTAGCATCAAAAGTAGTACCTGATAGTTGGCTTAACATGTTTTCTTGCAAAGATCATGGGGATTGCATGCCCCTTTGGGTAATTAACTAGTGCTGCAGAAGAGAATAGAAGAGTAAATTCTTGTAGGAAATCATGCAGTAACATCAGATGATTGGGTATCAAAACTCTTAGGTCCTTTTTTAGGTTTTCATCTGGGCGATAGCTATTCATATCTTTAAAATTTGAGTTTTTGTTTCTATGGTAAAATATTTTTGGAGTTTGGTGGCGCAAAAAATAAATTTGGCAACATAGCACAAATATGAACAGTATTCGAACACTTCTTTGTTCTTGAATTGAGATTTAGTGAACTTTCTTAGGAAAGAATATTACAGTCTAATTTATTTATATTTTAATATAATTTCCAACTGAAAATTATATTAAATCCAAAAGCGTTCTTTTTGTTGTTGTTTTGCTGTTGTCACTTGATTTGTAACTTTTATTTACAGATTCAATTGTTAAAGTTACTGGAATATATTACATACAAAATAAACACATGAAATTTGATTGATTGATGTTCCCCAAGAACCTCCAAAATGAAAATATTGTCTCTACGGGAAGTTAAGGGTTAGAGAGATTTATTTAGGAGTGGCACATAGCCTAAGAAGAAACGTTGAGCGCATTTGTTGCTGTGAGACATTAAAGCTTACATTTTCTACAAACTGGTGTTATTTGAAATTCATGACTAACCCTAAAAATATTATTTCAGAATCAGAACATATATATGTTATCTGGGTTTAAAATTATATCATTTCATAAAAATAAGAGTGAAGTAAAAAGGAATGTAAGAATCAAGTATTATGGACAATGAATAAATTACAATGGCTCGATAGGTTTCCAGATAAATTCTGCTCTGTTTTTGAAAACAGAGAAAAATATTTACAACACATATGTAGAACAGACGACAAATATTCTTAGTGATCAAAGAGCTTTTTCCAATGTATATGTTTTTTTCAAATAAAAAGGATTACGCTTACCTGGACAAGACAAATAGGCAAAGGATAGTGAGATCCAATTTACTGAAATTGTAATGCATATGGTCTTAAAACATGTAATATTTTTTCAACCTAATGTATAATTAAATAAGTACAAATTAACACAACAATCTAATTATTTTTCTCATGTCATATTGTACATACTTTTCAGTTGGGTCGTATTCAATTTATGATGATAGAGAATGGCACTCTCATAAACTGTGTGTGAGAATGTAAATTGGTTTTAAATTTTTGGAGGATAGTTTTACCAGATTTTTGGAAATTTGGTAAATGCATAAGTCTTTAACCCATTAATTCTACTTTCAGGGATTTACTGTTAGAAATACTTATATAAGTGCAAAAAGATGTATACATAGCACAGTTAGATTGTGGGTTTAAAAAAAGGGAACAGACTAAATGTTCATTGACTGAATAATGGTTAAGTAAATGTTTGTACATTCATAAATAAAAAGTAAAAAGTCACAGAAAAATGTAGTGTGTGTGTGTTGATATGGAAGCTAAACAAAAATATGTTAAACATATTTTGAATGTATTATATAGTAAATATTTCAAATATGTTTTAAATATATTAAAATGGTATTAAATACAGAGTAAATAGAAATTAATACTATATTAAAATTAATAAAATTATTAATATATAGTTATATATTAAGTATATAAAATACGTTTAACTTTTGAAAAATTGTGTTTCACAATTTCAGGTATAATGCCTCCCCATTTCTAAAATATTAAAATTAACATGCGTATGCCAAAATAACTGAAGTTTGAAGGAAGGGGATTTTCAATTAATCCTTTTCTTTCTAAAACTTTTCATATTAAAAAGTGTTTTTTAAATTGGTCCATAATAATTGTACATGTTTATGGCCTAGTGTGATACTTTGCTATGTATAAATTCTATAATGATCAAATCAGGAGACCAGGTGCGGTGGCTTACGTCTGTAATCCCAGCACTTTGGGAGGCTGAGGTGGACAGATAGTGAGGTCAGAAGTTCGAGACCAACCTGACTAATATTGACAAAACCCCATCTCCACTAAAAAAAATTATAAAAATTAGCCAGGTGTGGTGGCATGTACCTGTAGTCCCAGCTATTCAGGAGGCTGAGGCAGGAGAATTGCTTGAAGCTGGGAGGCGGAGGTTGCAGTGAGCCGAGATCGTGCCGCTGCTCTCCAGCCTGGGTGACAGAATGAGACTCCATCTCAAAAAAATAAATAAATTAAAAAACAGGGTATTTAGTATGCTATCACCTCATACATTTATCACTTCTTTGTGGTGAGAACATTCAAAATTCTTCTAGCTATAGAGGACTATATGTATTTTAATATATAGAATAATGTTTTAACATATGATATAGAGTAGTATTTAATATAGAATATTTTGAAATATACAATGTGATCTTATTAACTATAAGTGACCCTACTGTGCAAAAGAGCATTAGAATTTACTACTCTAACTTACTGTAACTTTGTACCAATTGAGTGAATGCCCCTCATACTCCCCTCTCCTTAATCCCCCAGTTTCCGGTAACTACTATCCTACTCTATTCCTATGAGATAGATTTCTTTAGATTGCACATATGAGTGAAAT